ACCCTACCCCCCCCCCCCCCCCGCCCAGGATACCGGGCCAGTCCTGGAGGAGACAGGACGGCCTCCTGGGGCTTGCCGTGTTCTAGGACTGGGCTGGCGTGTCCCTGGTCTGCTGCACCCCAGGGGACATAGGTAGGGCAAAGAAGCTGTTCCTCTGGCCCTCTAATGGTAAGGAGTGGGGAGGGGGAGTCTGGGGGAGCCTGCCCCACAATGGCCCTGGGGTTTCTCCCCCTACAGGGGTCGCACGCAGGTACACGTAGCAGCTGGGCAGGATTCTGGGGGTGTTGGCCTCATGCCAGGGCCCAGCGCCCAGCCTAGGCAGGGAGTGAATCCAGAGGGGCCGGTCGGCCAAGGTCTCAGGAGAGGCGGGTGATGCCCGGGGCCATGCTGGGAGGGGAGGATGGCCCCACGGGCAGGTCAGTAATTGCTGATCTGGGACCGTTCTTTGGTCGCACGCTTAGCAAGCCTTGTTTGGGGTCTCTGGGGCATCCCCTCTGCTCAGGGAGAGAGCAGGGCTGGCCCCATCCCACCGGGAGAAGCAGGCGGTTCCCACGGCGCTGCCGGGATCCACGCTCTGGCACATGGGCCGGATTTTCTGACCTGCTCAGCGACTTGGCAAGGCGGCCGCAGGGTGCTGCACCGGAGCCCGTGGCCAGGTCTGGCCTCGGGTGCGGCTCTGGCACCGCAGCAGTAACCTGGCCTGGCCTGGGGCTGCAGGGCCCTTGGGTTCCTCCCAGCTGTGCGGCTGTGCCAGTGCCGGCTGCTCCCTGTCACCCTCGGGGGCTGTGCTGAGCCCTGCTGAGCGGCTCTGCTGATGCCTGGGATGCCGGCAGGTGGTTGGGGACCCCAGGATTGGAGCTGGGGGGTGTGGGGGCCTAGCCCCTCTCCCATCGGGGATGTCTGCTCTGCCATAGAGCAAGAGGCACTGGGGCCTCACTAGCCAGGTGTCCCCAGGAATAGGCACCCAGAGGTTGGGGTGCTGTGGGTGCCATAAGGGGGTTCTGCAGAGCAGTGGGGCTGGCTGGGGATGCGCCCCCAGGGCCCCCTCCCTGGTCTGGGGCAGTGACCTACCCCAGCTGCACTGACTCCCCGGGCTCAGCTGGGGCAAGGCGCTGGCACTGAGCAGGGCTGGGTGCCTTAGTGAGGGGCTCTGGGCCCCTCTGATACCCTGGGGTGAGGGACGTGGTTCTGGACTCCCAGAGAACAGCCCAGGAAGGGGGGCTGAATGTGGAGCCTCAGTCTCTGCTGGGCACCACCCCCGAGCCTGTGCAGGGCCCTGGATCCTATGGGTAACTGCCCCAGCTGCTCCCCCGCCTGCCTGTACCCCAGCCCAGCCTGCCCCCCCAACCCTCCCCCCACCGAGAGCGGAGTGTGCAGCGGGGTCCCTAACGTGCTGGAAAATGGGGGAGGTGAGTACAGCTCCTGCTGTCCCCCCATAGCCCCTCGCTCTGCTGCCCTCAGCTGGGACGCAGGAGAGGGGGAGAAAGAGGCTCGCCTGGTGGGTGCCCCGTGGGATCCGGCCAGCGCATCGGCCTGCGTGTGGAGCCGGCTGGGGCTGCCCCACCTGATACAGGGCGGGGGCTGCCTGGCCCCATCGGGAGCCTCCAAATGTAGATTTGCATAACCCCCTCCCCGTCCAGCCCTGGGCTCTCTCCTGCCAGCGCCAGCGGCATCCCAGGGGCACTAGCCTGGCTAACACTGCAGGAACATGGGGCTTCCCTCCCTCCCCTGGCCAGGGTCTCCCCAGAGCCACATACAGGCAGGCGTGTGGCTGGTGCGGGCAGCCGCTGAGCTGCAGGGCGTGTCAGCTCTCTGCAGTGGGAGAAAGAGAGAGAGCCGGTGAGCAGAGGGAAGCTTTGCTGCTCCAGGGAGCCCAGCCAAGCCCAGCCACCCGGAGTGGGGCAGACTCCCCGGCTGAGCCCAGGGGCCCCACGTGGGGCAGACCCTTCCTGATCAGTTGTTGTGCAAGCAGCAATGGTCAGTGTCTCTGGGGCAGGGCCCAAGGGCCACGCTGTCTAGCACCAAGTGTCCCCAGTAGGCAGGCACCATCCTGCCCTGCCAGCTGCCCCGGGACCCTGGCCAGGGTCACTGCTCCCCACAGCTTGGCTTTGCCCTCCTGCATCTGGCCGGGTCCAGGTGCCTGGGAACAGCCGGCCTTTCTAGCTCACTGTGAAATCACTGGAAGAACGTGGCAGGGGCAGCATTCCCCGAGGCCTCGCAGCCCCGATGGCTCCAGGGTAGCAGCAGGGGCTCGGAGGAGGGAGGCACAAATGCTGAGTAACCCATGCAGGTACCCCCAGTTAGTTCCCTGTCTAGCAGATATCAGAGGGGTAGCTGTGTTAGTCTGAATCTGTAAAAAAGCAACAGAGGGTCCTGTGGCACCTTTAAGACTAACAGAAGTACTGGGAGCATAAGCTTTCGTGGGTAAGAACCTCACTTCTTCAGATGCAAGTACTGGAAATTACTGTCTAGCAGATGACTCACTCACCCGTGCAGCACCTCCTGCTGGTCATCCGGGAATTAGCTCAATTCCAGCTTCCAGAGCGCCTCCTGCTGGCTGGTGTCTCACCTGCCTCAGGCCTCATATCCCTCCCAGACCCCAGTACCTCCTTCGGCCTTTAACCAGGCCTCAGGCTGGGGCTCCTCTCGCCTTTCCCCTGCCCTGCCCTGCCCTGCTCTGCATCAGGTCCCCTCTGTTCCCAGACAGCCAGGCCCTTCTCCCTCCAAGACTGGAGAGAGACTCTGACCCAGCTCCTCCCTTAGCCCTTTTATCAGGGCTTGCTGTGGCCTGATTAGGTGTGGCCCCAGCTGTGGCTGCTTCCCCAATCAGCCCAGCCTTCCCCCCGGAGTGGGGTAACTGCCCCGCTACACCCTTCCTAGAGACACCCTGTCCCCTCGGGCCTCTAGCGCCTCCATCTCCAGTGGGCCGTTCTGTGCTGTAGCCAGTCTGCCCTATGCCCCCCTGGCCCGGCTGGGCCTCTGGCTGGACTCGTGTGCTTGTGGGTGCTCATGGGGGGGGTGAAGGGGGTTGCATGTCATGACACAAGGACCAGAAGGGGTTGGGAATGCTGGTGAACTGGGGGGGGGCTAGATGGATGGGGAGCCTCGCACAGGCTCAGCCCCCAGATCCCACATGGTGGGGGTGGGAGCCTGGCCCACCCTGCACACACACTGGCTGTGCGGTCATAGGGGACACTGGGAGGAGCCATCGGGTTACCCTCTCCCGGCCAGGGTGGCATCTCAGCCACTCCCCTGCGACGGACAGCTGCTGGGGACGCAGAGACCGTGAGCTGTGGCCAGTGTCAAAGGAGTTAATGGGCCCCATTGGGTCCCTCATGCCCAAGGGTCCAGCCCTGCCCCCGGTGGCAGACTCTGAGGCCAAGGGCTGGCGTGGGCTGGGGGAGAGGAGCGGAGGGGTCCCCCTGAAGGACCATGCCTTGTTGCTGCCCAGCCAGGGGGACAGTCTTAATGGCTGCAGGGCTCCGGCAGCTCATTTGTCAGCTGGGGAGAAGCAGCAGGGCCGGGGCTGGAGCTAGGCCAGGCCGGCAAAGTGGCTTTAACGCAGCCTCTTCTCTGCAGAGCACTGTTACGATGAGCTGGTCGCTCCCCTTTACTCCTCATCCATCGGTGCCTCCTCCCGCTACAGCATCTTCTACTCGTCCAGCTTCGCCCGGCTGCACAGTGAGTCCCGCCTGCCCGGCCCCGGGGAGAGCTGGGCCCAGGCGCCTGCCCCAGCCACGGGGCAATTGCTGGAGACCCACAAAGCAGTGGCCTGGCTGCACATGGTGCTGGCGAAGGAGGGAGGGTCCCCAAATGCCCCAGAGCAGCGCCTGGGCAGAGTGGGGAGGTTAGTAGGGTTCCTATGGGATCCCCCTGTCAGTGATGCCCCGGGGTCCCCGTGGGGTGGGGTGAGGCCCTGGGGCAGCTCGGAGGGCGTTTACCCTGCTGCCCTTGGACGGCTCTGGCCCCATTTCTGAGCTGAGCAGGGACTGGAAAGGCCAGAGCCGCGGGTGGCACCGGGTCTAACCATGCCCTCCGGCACAGGCAGCAGTGGCTGGTCTCCAGACCCCAGCGACAAGCAGCCCTGGCTCCAGATCGACCTGATGCAGAAGCACAAGATCAATGCGGTGGCCACGCAGGGGACGTACAACACGTATGACTGGGTGACGCGTTACATCGTGCTGTACGGGGACCACCCCAGCAGCTGGAAGCCCTTCTTCCAGCTAGGGAGTAACTGGGTAAGGAGCTACTGCCACCACGTCCGGGGGGCTCCCACCAGTGCCAGCGCCTTGCCTGGCTCCTGAGTGCCCCCGTCTGCACACGGCTCTGAGGGCACGGGACAAAAGTCTATGAGATCGTGCCAGGCTAAAGGAGGGAGTGGGAGCTGCCGACTTTCCTGCCCCACGCCACAAGAACGAGAAGACAGTCGCTGACAGGGGGACATTCAAAACTGATCTAAGGGGAAACTCTCCCACCCATGGGGGGTTGGCCTGTGGAACTCCACACCACAGGACGGTGTCGAGGCCAAGAAGTCAATAAGGCTCGAAGGGGGGCTGGCCAGTTCGATGGCTAGCAAGAGTATCCAGAGTGACGGCCGCAGTCTGTGGTAACGAACGTGGGAGGGAGCGTCACTCCTCCTGCCCCAGGCTGATCGCTGAGAGACCAAGCTAAGAGCTAGTAGGGGGCGGATCACCCCAGCCCCGCCACTGTGGGGTTCTGACACCTTCCTCTGAGGGGCTGGGCCCTGTCAGAGAGAGGCCACTGGCCAAGCCAGGCCTCAGGTCGGCTACAGCCTAGGCCGGCCCGGGGCAGCGTGGTCCCCCCGGGTGGGAAGGGGCTGGTGGGGGGCGCAATCACCCCACGCTGCGGGGGCTGCGTTGACAGGGGCTGTTTCTCCGCCAGACGTTCTTTGGGAACGTGAACGAGAGCGGGGTGGTGCGCCACGACCTGCACTACCCCATCCTGGCTCGCTACATCCGCATCATCCCCCGGGCCTGGAACCCGCGAGGCAAGATCGGCCTGCGCCTGGGCCTCTACGGCTGCCCCTACCGTGAGTGAGCAGCAGGCCGCCGGCGGAGCCCTGGCGCTAGCTGGGCCTGACGCTGCGGGGAGGGGGTTTGGGGGTTTCCTAGAGGGCATAAAGGCTCTGAGCAATGGGCCTGGCTTGGCTGGGCGCTGTGTGGCACAGAGCCCCGGGGCCCCGGGCGCTGTGTGGCACAGAGCCCCGGGGCCCCGGGCGCAGTGTGGCACAGAGCCCCGGGGCCCCAGGCCCCGTTCAGCCCATCGGGTGATTTGGAGCCCATACAGCTCCCCAGGAATTCAGCTCTGACCCCCCCCAAGTCTTGCCCCAACACCCCACTGCCCCCAGCCCTCCCCACTGAGCCTGGAGACCTGTTCCCCTTCCTCCCGCTGGCGCCCCCGAGGCTCCTGTCCCAGCTCTCCTCCGCCCCAACCCCTCCTCTTCTGCCCCACTCAGGACAGTTTCATTTTGTTTTAAATTTTGAAACAAATCTGGTGATCAAAACAGCCCTGGGGAGCTGTAGACAGGGGCCATCCCAGGGCCCCTCTTGTGCCCCAGGGTGGGCCTGCAGGCTTCTGACCTCAGTTTCCTTCCAAGTCTCCAAAATAATTCACCGTCACCAGTGTCTTCTAAACAATCTTCCCCCTCTCTTGGGGTCTAATCTACTCAGCTCTATCAGCTCCCGTTTTGCTTCAGGGCTTCCCAGCCCTTCTGGGGAGCTGGGTGCCCCCAGTCCTGGCCCCCTGGCCTGGAGACTCTCCCTTGGCTTGGGGGTGCACAGCCCTCCTTCCTGGGACTGGTCCAGACCGAGCTCTCCTCTCTGCAGCTCTCTCCTTGACTGGGCTGAAGGCACCTGACCACCTTGACCCTGACCAGGGGGGTCTAATCACCCCAAAACCGGCCAGGGGACCCTTGCCCCACCCCCTTTCCAAGGCTCCTGGGCCCCCAAAGGAACAATGGCCTGGATAACCCGGCCAGTGACTCATGAAACTGCAGTACAAACCTGAAACAATTAGAAAACCAAACGCCTTGTAGATGTTTGCAGACATCAGGCGTCCCCTGAGTCTGGCTCTCAGCAGGGAGGGTAGGGGCCAGGCAGAGGGGTGTGGGCAAGTTTGGCCAGTGCCTGGGTGACGTTGGGTCTCGTTGTCACGGAGTGTGGGGGGACACAAGGCCCTGCACCCCCGGCTTCCTGCGATTCACCATGACTCTCAGCCAGCCAGTAAAGCAGAAGGTTTATTTAGACGACAGGAACACAGTCCAAGACGGGTCTTGCAGGCACAGACAACAGGATCCCCCCCAGTTAGGTCCATCTTGGGGTCCCAGGGCCCCACAGCCCCCTTGGGAGGTCAGAGCCCTGTCTGCCCCGCAGCCATTCCACCAGCCAGCTCCTGAAACTCTCTTCAGCGACCCCTCCCACAGCCTTTGTTCAGTTTCCTGGGCAAAGGTGTCACCTGGCCTCTAACCCCTTCCTGGGTTCTCACGTTACATGCTCAGGTATTTTCCCCCTAGGCCAGTCTCCCATCCCCCAATGCAGACTATCCTAGCCAACCTCCCTTGCAACCGTCCCAGCCAACACTCCCCACTCAGCATTCAAAGACCACAGTAAGAACAGTCCCAGTTCGTAACACTCGTCCCCCAGGGTCTGATGTGCTGTACTTCGACGGGGACGATGCCATTTCCTACCGCTTCCGCGGCAAAACCGTCCGCACTGCCCGGGACGTGTTTGCCTTCAACTTCAAGACGATGGAGCGGGAGGGGCTGCTGATGCACGGCGAGGGCTCCCAGGGGGACTACATCACCGTGGAGCTGAAACAAGCCCAGTTGGTGCTACACATCAGCTTAGGTGAGTCTGGGACTGGCTGGGGCGCTGCCGGGCTGCTCAGTGCTAGGGAGGGTTACTGGGGATGGTGGGGCTTGGACAGGGGATGGGGGTTAGAAGGGGCTGCACAGTATGGGGGGGAGATTGACAGGGGCTGCTCTGTACTCTGGGGGGCATTGTTGGGGGGTGAGCAGTGGGATGGGGTCAGCAGGGGCTGGTCCGTACTGGGGGGAGGATTGGGGCCATGGGGGGTGAGCAGTGGGATGGGGCTCAGCAGGGGCTGGTCCGTACTGGGGGGAGGATTGGGGCCATGGGGGTGAGCAGTGGGATGGGGGTCAGCAGGGGCTGGTCCGTACTTGGGGGAGGATTGGAGCCATGGGGGTTGGGCTGTAGGATGGGGGTTGGCTGTGGCCAGTCCGTACCTCGTAGGGGGGTTGTTGGGGGTGGGTGGCAGGAGGGGGGTTGGGATGACCCCTGAGCGGCACCGGGGAGGCTTGAGGCCCCTCCCTGTCAGTAGGGTGACTGGCCGGCCTCCCCAGGCAGCAGCCCGATGTACTCCAGTCAGGGACACACCACGGTGACAGTGGGCAGCCTCCTTGATGATCAGCATTGGCACCAGCTGCGCATTGACCGCCACGGTCATCAGGTCAACCTGAGCCTGGATGGGGAGGTCAGACGCTTCCGCTGCAACGGGGATTTCCAGCACCTGGACCTGGACACCGAGGTAGAGCCTGTCCAGTCCCAGCGGGGTCGGGGGGGCAGGGGCAGGACAGGGGGGCCTGCTTCTTGGGGCGGCCCGTCTGGACACTGTGCTGGAGGGGACTGCCCAGCGCAGCTCTGCCCGGGCTCCCAGCCCTGAGGGGACAGAGGGGGCCCATCATGTTGCTGTGCTGAGAACCGCGGGCGGCGGGGCCCCGTGGGCTCAGGCTGCGCCCGTGTGATGTCCTCTGAGCTGGGACCAGGAGCTAAGCCAGCGGCAGATCACAACCAGGCCCCTCCCTGCCCCCTGTGGGGCTCTGCTCTGTGCTGGAGGGGGCTACCGGGGGATACCCCCGTCCCTGGGAGCCCAGAGGGACGCAGCCCAGCCCCACTGGTGCTGAGCTCCCTGCTGTTCCTCTCTCTCCCTGCCGGGCAGGGGGCATGTCCCATCCGCACTGGGCAAGCGGTGCCCCAGACAGCTGGGGCTCAGCCCAATCCCCCTGACTCTCCCCACAGCTGTTCTTCGGCGGCGTGATCAGTCAAAAGAATCGGAGCCTGGTCTATCGACAGAACTTCCGGGGATGCATGGAGAACATCTTCTTCAACAGGGTCAACATCATTGACCTGGTCCGCAGGAGAGCGTCCAACATCCGCTTCGAGGTGTGGGGAACCCCAGGGAAAGGGAGTGGGGGTTCCTGGGGCGCAGGGGGAGTGCACATGGGGTCCCTTTGGCCTTGGCAGATCTGTCCCAGGCACGTTGTGTGGCAGGCAGCTCTGGCTGTCAGCGACCCGAGCCCGGCGTGGGGCTAGGATTGAAGCTGGCTACGGGCCAGGAACCGGCTGCTCCAGCGCTCACTCATCCAGCCCCAGATCGATAGCGCGAGGTCGTCCTGGGCCCGGGGCCATCAGCTGCTGTCACCAGGCGATGGGTGCGAGCTCAGAGCCGGGGCCTCGGCTGCGGCTGCCTCATGGGTTTGGCTCTGGCGGCTTCAGGCTGGAGTTGAGCAGAGCTCTCTCTGCCTGGTTTGGATCTAGAGCTCACAGGAACGCATGACACCAGCGGCAAGTAACACAGACAGTCACAGGAACAAGGTCCACTCTCTCTTATCAGTGTGATTAAAGGTACTAACACAGTGAGGAGGGTCCCACAACTAGATCCATCCAGGCACCAGGGATAGCTACAGCCACTCACATCCTCCTGACAATGTTAGGGGCTGATGGGTCTCCTGGATTGATCAGCAGGAGAGGGATGGTTCCTGCTGGATCCTCCCATAGGAAGCTCCTTTTTCCCCGCTCTGGGCACCTCCTTTTTGTAACGTGATTCTGCCTATACCTACATTCTGCGCATGTACATGAAAGTGTCACCCCTCTTTTTCCTTATCGGTCTGGTGTCCCTTAGACACTGAAGGCCCTCCGATTTCTATATTCATTATCACTGACGCACAACTTGTATCCTGTGGATAAGACACGTTAGAGACAGATGTGCCTCTACACCATTTTTGTGATTTAAAGTTAATCTTCCAGCTATTTTTTTTCAATATTACCCCTTGGAATCTCTTTGCCCATAATCTTAGGGCATCGGGTTATTCTTCGCTCACTTACTTCGGTCAGCGTTTCTGAGCTCCAAGGCCTAAAATAGCTAAGCTAAAACCTTGCAGGCCTCAGCCTAAGGCTGAAATGCAAGACCTTTTCTTACTTAGCTTTCTAAATACTGATCACTCTTATACTTCTATCATCCTACAACTGAACCCTCTTTAACATACATGATTATCTAGCACATGACATGGTGTTAATCAGAACATCACACAATAAATGAATAATAAACTAAAATCACTGGCTACATCCAGGGCCGGCTCTAGGATTTTTGCCGCCCAAAGCAAAAACAATTTTGGCCGCCCCCCCGCCCCGTTCTTTAATTACCCCACCCCTGGCCCCGCCTCAACTCCGCCCCTTCCCCAAATCCCCAGCCCTGCCTCCTCCCCCCAGGCTCTCAAGCCTGAATAGCACTACAGGGTTATTTCAGCTAAAAGGCATAGTATCGCATGCTGGCCTTGATCTGGGTTCATTCTTTCTCGCACCCAAATCACTGTTACCTGTCCAGCCATACCCTCAATAGGCAAGTCTTGAGTCCAGTCCCAGTACAACAGCCTGATCTACTGCAGTGATCGGTGTCTCTTATGGCTAAACAGTCTGTGACATAAGAACGTAGGAACGGCCGTACCGGGTCAGACCAAAGGTCTATCTAGCCCAGTGTCCTGTCTTCCAATAGTGGCCAATGCCAGGTGCCCCAAAGGGAATGAACAGAACAGGGAATCATCAAGTGACCCATCCCCTGCCGCCCATTCCCAGTTTCTGGCACACAGTTTGAAAGGCAGCATTCAAGCCGAAGTACAGGATTAGTGTTGTTACACCCCACATTTTTTTTCTTTTCCTGTGCCCGGGCTGACTCTCACTGGCTCTTGGGTTACACGCTTTTGCAGTCAATGGCTCGCCTTCCTCTGCCTGTGTTGTACTTAAAGTACTGCACAGGATCTTTTCAGGGGGAATAAGA